AGCTCGTCACTTCTCTGTATACTTCTCTATAAATGGAAATGAACGCCTAAGGGAGAGGCTGGGGTATGGAAAACTTTCAACGTAAGCCCCTTTTGTAAGCTTTGAGGGTTTTAATTTTTTATTTGACAGGTTCACATATTTACATAACAGATTTAGATGCTTTCATACTTCATTTCCCACCTTGCGCTCTCCATTAGAGCCAAGCCCTTCTCAGCAAGTTCCCCTCCTGCCCTCATGACTCCTCTTTCTCTGTGACCCTTTGAGTTGAATGAGAATTTGTTTCCTGAGTGTGGGACTGGAAGATTCCACAGGAACGCGAGCTACTTACAGGGACTACACCACTGAAGAAAATAAAACCTCCCTCCCCCAAAATTTGGTTTTTTACACCATACGTGTTTTCTACTTAAAAATAAAATGTATAGGCAGATTTTAAAGATAATGGACAAAGGTCATGGGGAGAACACCAGCCTGGCTGTAGAGAGACTGAATTCTATCTACCACGACTACCTCCCTCATCCACGGTGCAGTCTCCCCACTACCCCACCCACCTCTCTCAGATGCTATACATTTTCCACCAAAGCATGACAGTTAAAAGGATCTTGTGAAAGAACTGGTAATAATTAAATGTCTTAATATAAAAACTTGAATTCATATTTCTGTTTAATTCTCAAAAGCAGAACAACCAACCTATACAGTATGTCAGGCAGCGCTAGGCAACGGGGTCCCATACAGCATGTAAAGTGTGCTAGGCAGGGTCCTCTCCTCCTGTGCAGTGTGTAAGGGGTGTGAGGCAGGATCCTCTCCTCCCGTGCAGTGTGTAAGGGGTGTGAGGCAGGGTCCTCTCCTCCCGTGCAGTGTGTAAGGAGTGTGAGGCAGGGTCCTCTCCTCCCGTGCAGTGTGTAAGGGATGTGAGGCAGGGTCCTCTCCTCCCGTGCAGTGTGTAAGGGGTGTGAGGCAGGGTCCTCTCCTCCCGTGCAGTGTGTAAGGCAGCGCTAGGCAGGGTCCTCTCATCTGTTCCTACCAAAGACAGGCTGGTGAGTATGATAAAAGCCCTTTTCCTAGGAACAGAAAAGCATCAGCGTCAAAGACATGTAAGGCTAGGTAAAGTATCAGATTTTAGCCCAGGTCCTGTATCTATCTGTGAGGAACCGAGTTCGCCAAGACTGAAACCCACCTCTCAGCATTCCTAACCATCCTCTTTACTCATCACTGTCAAAAGTCACACACACACACACACACACACACACACACACACACACAGCTCAAGAGAGCAAAGTTCAGTAGTCTAGGCTTGTCTAGATTTTCAAATCTGAAGGGTTCCCTAAACATTAACTCTCTCAACATTAGTAGGAGTGACATCCTATTTTCAATTCTATTGCTGTGATAAAAAAGAAAAACTGACAAAAAGTAGCTTAGAGGAGAAAGGGTTGTTTCATTTTGAGATTGCAGGTTTCAGTCCTTCATGACAGGGACGTCACAGCAGGAATGTAAGCTAACCAGCACGTCCACAGTCAAGAGCAGAAAGAAATGCACCTGTGCCTACTCAGCTCACTTTCCCCATTCCCATCCAAGACCCAAGCTCAGGCCATGCTGCCAACACCGTGGACTGCAGATAAATGAACACAATCAAGATCTGTCCGCATGCCAACCTAATACAGGCAGTCTCTCACTGAGATTCTCTTCCCAAGAGACAGTGCCAAGCTGACAGAACCAGCTACCACAAGTGCAGAGATAACAGACAGGACTCTTGAAGAGTTCTTACAAGTACCTCATTTTGAAATAGTGAACAATCTATTCATCTTATTGTACTGAACGATTCTTTCAGAAATAAGTCATTCCTATTTTATAGCTAACACAGGCAATCTTTAAGTAAAAATATGTTAGATTCATTTTTCAGATGGAGATGTTTAGGAGTGACTTAAATACTCAAAAAATAATAAGGATATTAAGTATGAAGGAGCTACTAGGGGTAATAGGCTGAACACTTCTGAGGAGGAAACACAGTTGCTGTAAGCGCTGATTCTGAACACATGGCTTGGTACGTGAGCAGTTCCATCATTTAGTCCTGTGGCCTTGGGCGCATTTCTTCTGGATGAGTGTGTGTGTGTGTGTGTGTGTGTGTGTGTGTGTGTGTGTGTGTAAATGTGGCTGCAGGTGTGTACACACACAGCACCCATCGTGGAGCCAGAGGACAACCTAAGGCAGCAGCCCTCAGGCACGATCCACTTTTCTGTCTTGAGAAGGCTCTCTCATTGCTCTGAAACTCTGCCATAGAGACCAGTCTAGCAGGCCTGAGAGCTTTCTGATGCCCACCTGCCCCCGCCTGCCCCTGCCTGCCCCCGTCTGCCCCTCACCTGCCCCTCCTGCCCCCTGTCTGCCCCCACCTGCCCCTGCCTGCCCCCCACCAGCCCCCGCCTGCCATCTTGCCAGGGTTCTGGCACCCGAGTTATCCCCAAGCCCAACATGTCTTATCTTGTTCCAGCCTCAGTTTACATCCTTGTGATAAAACAGCGATGCTAATACAGCACAAGTTTTAAAAATGTAAAAGCTATGCTCCTCGGTATAAATATGACATCGGGACAGAGGAACTAAAAGTTGATTTCAGAGAATAAGCCTGATTTTATGAAGAAAAGTATCTGGATGTTCCAGAACTATCGCCACTGCTGAATCACTATAACTCCATGAACTATAAAGAGGTTGCTATGTGAGAAAATCTACAGCTGAATATTTGGAAGGTACAGAAAATATTTCTTATAGTTTTGACAATGATTCTAAACAAGAAAAGGTCATCAGTTTTGAATTATTTAATATAAAAATCATTATTTTAACTAGCTTTGAAGGATAGGAGAAAGGTACCCAGAATGTACCAATGTGTAGAATTTGAAAGCAATAATCATTTTTAGACTCCAGTAAAAAGATATCACTAAGCCAAAGTAATCTTTAACAGGAACTCGTGGATCCTGTGGCAGACTATAATGGGTGGAAAAAACACCAACTATGTTTGAGTCAGCTCCCTTGAGATGCCTCTGGTGGTTCTGAAGTACACGGCTTCTCCTATCCCTTCACTTATTAACCACAGATGGACTCCCAGTACTCAAGTGTTTTCAAGGGCTTGCTGGGGTAGCACATTAGGGGGTGAAAGTAAACAAGTCCTACAAGAGGTTCGAGGTGCAGCATTGGCTTTCCTGTCCAGGTCTGTTAGGATGCTGTGTAAACCAACAGCCCCTCTGTTACTTTGCAATGTGAGTTCAGTTCTCTCTCTTCAGAGCAAACCCAGAACTACCTTCCCTTACTCCTGGGAGACTCCTACTGTGTGCTGGAGACACTTGCATTGGCCCAGGGACTACTGATTACACTTCACAGTCAGGAAGACTCCTTGGCATGACCTTCCCGCTGGTAGGGAAGCAGACCATGCTTAATTTCCATAGTAAACTCTTGGCTATGGGTGTTCCTGAGTCTCTTAGAGAAACATTATCTTCTCTCTCCAGCCTTCTGTTGAAATCTTTATCTTGGTCTTAGAACATGAGGTTAGCGTTGGTCTGAAAGGTTTGGGGAACACATATATAGGAGGGCAGTGAGTTCAAAATGCTTGTTGAATAAACTGTGTGCTTAGAATCCATTACACAGTAGATGACATAATACTTACACTTATTGCTAACTCATTTTTCCTCGAATATCGGCTACTTGACATCTTTGATTGACTTGTTCTGAATATCCACACTGGCTCCATGTTATCTAAATCTTTGCATGAAGAAAAGCCAGAAGATTGTGTGATTGTGTGTGTGTAGAAAGATAAGAGAGATGGATGGATGGATGGATGGATGGATGGGTGAATAGAGACAGAGATTGAATATCAGTATCCAAATAGTAGCCACTAAAAATTATCATATTTAATTTGGTCATAATCATATCAGAATCTTATAAACTCATCAACTGCAGTCAGAATGGGGGGGATGGCTAATTTCATAGGTGTGAGATGACCGGTGGATGCAGGAAACTGAGGCCCACAATTGAGTAGCTGTATGACTGTATGACTCGTTAGCTGACATCCGTGTAGGCCATGCTATCTCCTCGCCTGTAAAGGGGATTCATGATAACTACCTCATGGGGTGTTTTTCAAAATTAAGCTTAAAGACAATAAAACACACAAAAAAGTGTTCTTCCTGTTCCTGATCATCTAACATACACATAGTCCGTGGGGAAATCCGTGTGCTGCACTTTTCTAAAAGGCAGTGAAGACGACCATACAGGTTGGATTTACCCTCCAATGTGGACGGAGTATCAGCAACCCGTGTTTCATTCTACGGATGCGGAGGACCTGGCAGTGACTTCCGTTGTTAGTTGTGTACAGCGGAGGACCTGGAGGACAGGCGCTGGAGTGCCCAGGTTGTTGGCACATGGGTAGTTACGGGCAAGTGCTTATTAAAGGGAAAGACAGATACAGAGGCGCTTGCCCTACGCCTTATCTCTCCTGTAATGGGCTCCAAGGCACAAAGGAACTGGGGGTAAAGGTTAAGACTTTTTACAGTGCCCTCCAGGCTCACACATTGCAGGCTTCTCTGATTTTGCTCTCCTTGTCAACAATCCCAGTCTTTTTAATGTTTCCAAGTTAATCTCTGAAACTCCCATGGTTTCCTATCCTCCCGTCCCAGCAGCTCACTCCTGACCACTGAGCACACCGGTTATCAGGATCCTTCCCACTCTAATTCCACTCTGGAGCTCCGTGGGCCTCTCTCACTTTCTCCATCCTTCCTCCTTAGGTCCCCATCTACCCTTGACCCTGGGGGTTCACAGGCACAGCACCTCGAGTTCCCAGAAACCTCCTCTCCTCAGACCTTGAGAAAATGAAAGCCACTTCAGCACTGGAGGCACCAAGAGGAAGCCGGGCATGCGCAGAGGCCTGGGGAAGCCAAGGGCGGCGAGCGCGGTCCCACCGAGCCCCTGGTGCCAGCGCGCGGGCTCGCAGAGCCACGCAGGGCAGGCGAGAGGCCACCTCGTACCTGATAGCGCCCAGTGAGCAGCTGGCTCCGCGAGGGTGTGCACAGCGGCTGCACGTAGTAGTTGTCCAGGACCACCCCGCCGGCCGCCAGCGCATCCAGGTGCGGCGTGCGGATGACCGAGCCGTGGAAGCCCACGTCGTTCCAGCCCAGGTCGTCTGCCAGCACGAAGACCACGTGGGGCGGCCGAGCAGCCCCGGAGGCCCAGCCCGGCGACGGCTGCAGGAGCAGCAGCGACAGGAGCAGCTGCAGCTGCAGCCCTAGGCTTCGGGCCTGCCTCCCGGTGCATCCCCTCGGCTCCCCCATCCTTCGCAGCCGGCCGAGCCCGAGCTGCTGTTGTCCCAGACAGAATCGGGAACTGAGTGACCCGGGGCCCGGCAAGATTTCATTCACTGGGGCGGGCCGCGGGCTGGGGAGGGCCGGTGTCCACGCCCTCCGCCTCCCCCACGGGGGCGGGGGAGGAGCCCGCACAGAGCACGCGTGTAAACTCCACTGGTGTGGAGCTTTCAAAGCCTAGAGCAGAGAGAGGCCCCGTTATTTTCCCTAGCCATGGAACTTGAGAACCACGAGTTCCAAAGGGTTTAAACGTTTCTTATCTGATTAAATCTAGCTGCAACCTTGGCAGCTAAGCGGTATAATTAGCTCCTCTCTTCACCCTCCAGAAGAAACCACCTTGTAAATGGTTCTACTCCTGGCTCCCCTTTCTCTGATTCCATATCCCTCTTTCTCGTGTGTTTGGGGGGGGGGGGGTTGTAACTAGCAAGTTGTGTCTAATTCAAGGCCATAGCTTGGGGCACTTGGGAAAAAACAGAAGACAGCCATGAAGGTGGTGGTGATTCAGATCCATTTATAAAAAGTGTGTACCCATGAAGCCACTTCCTTCCCATCAGCCGTGGGCTGAACACCGTCCGTTTGCACAGGGTGAAGTTTCATTTCCAGGTTGTTTGGGGGTGTGCCCACAGAAGACCGTCTGCTTACTCAATGTCTAGAGATAAGTGATAACTGTCGGGTGGAGGAGAAAATACTGCACCTAGGGAAGACACCCTCTCAGGCCGAGGCCAAGTCCACGGAGCTATTGTACAGCTTTAGATACCGTCCTCGAATGATAGCCTTGACAAACCGTCCTCGAATGATAGCCTTGTCAAACAACTACCCCGATGTGCACACGACTTCTATGCAGCTGGTCAACAGGCATTTGTTGCCTTGTTCCTTAAATGGCTTTTAACTTCTTATCGGTTTGTTCATTAAATTAAAGAAAATCTGATGATGTATTCATTTTTGCGTTTGTGTGAGAGTAAAGATTTTTCCTTTTTTTTTGGGGGGGGGAAATTATCCTTAACTGCTTAGCTTATTTCCCTCTTAACATAATTACATCTTTTTCCTTTGCAGTAGATAACTACTTTTCGTCTTTTATAAAGAATGTAGCTGAAAGGTTTTAAATTTTAGCATTGTAATTTTAGCATTATAAAAGAGTAGTTTGTTTCCCTTTGTGTTGAGAATGGACTAGGGGGAGACAGAATTGTCCACTGTGGTCTTTGCATATTCTTCCACCCCATAGTTGTTCTCTGTATCCCCCCCCTCCTTTTTTGATGTTTTTGTTTTGAGCCAGCTCCTCACCATGTGTCCCAGGACAGCCTCCTCAAGTTCTCTGTCTTCCTGCCTCTTCCTCTAACAGAGGGGAACTGGGGTTACAGTCACATGCCACCATCCCAGGCTTTCCCTGTCCTTGATAAAACTCCAGCAATCTAGCAAACCCTTCTTTAACAACTGCTCCTGAATCTCCACTCCAGACTTCCAGTGTCCTGCACTTTCAGCTAAGCATATAGGCAGGAGGTACCCTGGAGACCTGCAGGTGGAAGGGTCCCTTTTGGTTTCCCTGTGTCCTGAATGTCCATGGAGTGCATGCTGTAGCAATAGGTTAGTTGTTTTAAGTAATCTCTCTACTGGTGTCCATTTGCTGCTTCGTCAAAATTTGAGTTGGCGACACTTTGTACACGCATGCAGCAAAGTGGTGTGGATGCTTCTGGAGCCTCAGACAGAGGCGCAGTGTGATTAGCTCCTTTGTGGAACCACTGTGGTACTGGCATCCTATCTCCACTGAAAGTTACCCTTTCCCCCTTGTTTTCAAACTTCGCTCTTTGGTTTTTGTCTCTTGCTTGAGTTGGTTATAATTAGGATGGCTACCAATAGTGACCTTTTAGTTTTCTTTCTATGAGTTTCTGAGTTCCTTATGTATTTAATTCACTGTGAACTCTTGGAATCTTGTTGTGATTAATATGCCCGAATTTTTTTAGCATAATTATCCCCCCATCTCAACAGACAGAGACTGCTTTATTGGAACAGTGAGTGGTCCCCAACATTTCTGAGGGATGAAAGTTAAGTGCATTTAGTGGGCATGAGAGATACACACACGCACACACACATACACACATGCACATGCATGCACACGTACACACAGAATGCACACACTCACACACACACGTGAGCACACACACACACAGCAACCAGGAAGTTAGAGCCATTTTTTTGTGACTTGCTTGGGAGCAGAGTGGGTTATTTTTACTATCTGAACATAATGTTTCGACATGTGGATCCAGAATGGTCAGGCTGGAGCTAAGTCATTCTTTATGGCTCAGAGCTATTGCTCCCCCCCCCAAGCCTGACTCAATTCATCATGACCTGAGGCCAACATATCCCAACTCTGGAAGAAAAAAGGGGGGGTTGTAGTTTCAGGGAGGCTGCTTCCTGCTGGAAGGAAACTACAATCTCAACATTTGGAAGCGGCATGTTGAGGTAGCATTCAGGTGGGATAGGGGCTGGTCATTTTCTGCATGAAGAATTCAGTGACCCTCTGGGAGGCAAGAAGATGCTCAACTCAAGGCCAGTATTGCAATTCTCTGTTTCCAAACAAATAAAATGTTTGCTGGTGTTTTATTGGAACTGAATTAAGTTTCTAAGTTAATTTTCAGAGATCAAGATTTCTATGATACTCAATTATAGCCACCAGTAAGAGGTGCCTCTCCTTTCTTTGTGCATTTTTTATTAGATTAAAAAAATACCAATCTAAATTTCCACTCCCTCCCCTTCTCCTATCCCCTCCACACACCCTCCCATCCCACCCCCTCCAGTCCTCAGAGAGGGTGAGGCACATTGCTTTGTGGAAAGTCCAAGGCCCTTCCTACTAAATCTAGGCTAAACAAGTTATCCATCCAAAGAGAATAGATTCCCAAAAAGCGAGTACAGGCAGTAGGGATAAATCCTGGTGCCACTGCCAGTGGCCCCACAGTCTGCCCCAGCCATGCAACTGTCAACCACATTCGGAGGGACTAGTTTGGTCCTACACTTGTTCCTTCCCAGTCAGGCTGGAGTTGATGAGCTCCCATTAGCTCAAATAGACTTTTTCAGTGGGCGAACCCGTCATGGTCTTAACCTCTTTGCTCATATTCACATTCCTCTCACTCTTCAACTGGACTTTGGGAGCTCAGTCCAGTGCTCCAGTGTGGGTCTCTGCCTCTGTTTTCATCAGTTGCTGGATGAAGGTTCTATGGTGATATTTAAAATATTCATGAGTCTAACTACAGGGCAAATCAAGATCAGGCCCCCTTTCCTCTATTGCTTAGGGTCTTAGCTGGGGGGGGGGAGGGAAGGTGTGAGGAGAACTTGAGGGAATGGGATAGTCGAGATGGAGAAAGGACAGCGATGAGAACAAGGAAAGAGACATCTTGATTGAGGGAGCCATTAGAGGGTTAGCAAAAACCTGGCTCTAGAGAAATTCCCAGACTCTCCACTTTTAAGACCTACTTCTGTAACCTTTAGGAGTACATTAAGATTTTTCTCTAGCACTTTTTTTGGTGGCTTTTTTAAATTTTATTTTTATTTTATGTGCATTGATGTTTTGCCACAGGTGTCAGATCTCCTGGAACTGGAATTGCGGACATTTGTGAGCTGCCACGTAGGTGCTGGGCATTGAACCTGGGTCCTCTGGATGAGCGATCAGTGATCTTATCCACTGAGCCATCTCTCCAGCCCTCCTCCAACACTTTTCCACCTATTAAATCAATTCCTGAGTACTTCTCCTTCTCTGCTGTTGTTGAAATGGAGTGGTCACTACCATTTTATCTTTCAAAACATTGTTAGTTATGCATATTGATGTTGTAATCATTTAAAAAGATAATGTGGAAAAATCTCCAGTACACCTTCTTCTTGGAAACAGTGAAAGTTATGGGTGGCATGCTTTTATTTTCTTCAAGTGTGTGAGTGCGTGTGTGTATGTGTGTGGAGAGAAAGGGGGAGGGCTGGTTGTCCTAGGTAGATAGGTTGGTCAGCAGAGGGATGGGAACATCCTCAGTTTTCCACCATATGTGTCCTTCTGTGCCTTCAGTTTTTGAAAAACCTCTGCCTCTGAGTACCGATCTCTTCTTGTCCTACTCCTATTAACATTATTATTAGTGATGCAATGACACAATTTGCAAAGCGTCATGAGCAAGTCTTCACCCTCCACTAAGGAACCCACACCCACACCCACAGCCACAGCCACCCATGCCTGCTGTCTCCTGCTGAGTCCTGCTTGTGCTGAAAACCAGTGAACTAAGCTCAGAGACAGAACCCCAAGCGATTTTTTGTCTCAATGCCTTTGAAGGTGCTCAGTCCCAGCAACCGAGGCCAGGCCTCCTCAAACCCCTATGTCTGAACATGAAACCAACCGTTGGTGTGGGTGAAGAGAAGGTAAGCAATTGCTGAGATAAGGCTGGCAAGCGGGCTTTCTTCAGAGAGATAACTAAACGGCATGCCAGTGTGTTAAGTTGTGGTTGATGTTGCTCATTGCTCCTGGAGGCACAGGTCAGGCGCCTGAGCATCAGAAAGGGGGCCAAAATCTGTTCATCTAGATGCTGTCTACTAAACTATTTTCATGATGTATTTGGTTGTAGAAATGGATGTGTAACTAAGAGCAAAGGATCTCATAGGTGTGTAAAAGGCCTTCCAAGGAGTGTTCTCGAGGCCTTGGACCCTTCTTCCATTTGTTAGTACTTACGTGCATACACTTTCTGTACTGTTGAAGCAGAAAGAGCCCTTGAGCCTCCAGACAGCATATTAAAAAGAAAATTCTTCATAAAGAGTACCTTCAGTTTAGTGTGTGTGTGTGTGTGTGTGTGAGAGAGAGAGAGAGAGGGGGGGGGAGGGGAAAGGGGGGGGAGAAAAATAATTCCCTTTAGCTCTTAAAATTCCCCAAATTTATGAAATTGATAAGTTAGAACAAGAGCTGATGCTAATTCAAAATGAAACTACCTTGACCCCTTCACCCTGGCCACTGTTTGTCACCTCCAATCTCAAAGCCAGCCACAGCAGAGAGAAGACCTTGCTTCTGCTCTGATGACGAGACCTTGGCATTGGCAGTGTGCCCAAGGCAATGGACTCTAGCAAGGTGATCCCATTTCTTCTCTCCTTGAGAACAGCCTGCCCATGGCAACAGCTTATTCCTCGAGCTAGTTAGTGTTGCTCTCTAGAATCCATGGACCTTTGTATACTTTTGTGTGCTTATTTTGTGCATAAAAAGAAATGTGGACACTGTTTTTATGTTTGGTATACTACACTGTCTACATTTTATATCCATTTCCTGAATATAAGCTCAATGGCCACTCTTTTCAGCCATGTCTGAGTGTGCAGACTAGAGTGAACACATGTGTTTAAAAAATCA